CCAAAGGGCAACCACGTAGCCGTTTTTGAGACAAGGATAACTCTATCACTAACCAAACCAGTGGTAGCAGTTGACATCTGAGTCAGATGACCGCCTGTATTACTTGGGATAAATGCAGGGGGTACCTATTGAGTTAATAGCCAACAAACATTGGCGAATCAAGGGGTCTAGCCGGCCTACGCCGCCTGGTACCTCTACTTCTCAAACAAAAGTGACGGCGACTGAGTAACTCCAAAGTTAACTCATAGTCACTCCTTCAAATTTGGTATGGAACCTAAAAAGTTTGAGTCGTCCGCCTGTTTTATACAAACAAGGGCACTCGAACCCCTATTCCTACTGGATAACCTATTGAGTAAATAGCCAACAAACATTGGTAAATCAAGGGGTCTAGCCGGCCTACGCCGCCTGATACCTTTACTACTCAATCAAGATTGTGACGAAGACTAAGTAACTCCTATGTTAACTTAATAGTCACTCAAACTTAGTACTGAGCCTAAAAGGTACGAGTCGTCCACTTGTTTTTAATAAACAAAGGCTCTCAACCAATACTCTTGCTAGGTTAACAAATAACAAATTAGAGGCCAACATTGGCAATGAAGGGAAACAACCGGTACCCGCCGCTTGTTTTCCTACTTAAATTCCTTGGCTACTTGGTAATTCTATTTACTTGGTCAAATTGAATAAAGAGTTCGAATACCGATTGATTAAATGGCCGACTGATCATCTATCCTGGAAACAGACAACCAGTCGTCCAGGGGCATAGGCGGCATACTTACTATTTGTACCTGTCTTAACGTTCGGCCATACACAACAGTCTGTCTAGTGAGAAAATTTCAAATACTTAGACAAATTTGAACAAAAACAAAAAATTTGATTAAAATGAGCCGGCCATAAAAGACCAGCAGAATATTCAAAACCCCGGCCCCCTGGCCGGGTAATTACAAAGCAAACGGCACGCAGGCCGTGAAAAGAAAAAATATACTTAAAGCTTAAGAAGGGGGCAGTTCAGTATCAGCAGCAGCCGCCTGGTCAGCACTCTTCTTGCTGGACTCGGCCTTCGCTGCATCATCTTTTGATGCCTTTCCCCCAAGTGGCACAAGCGCCACAACAGGCTCTTCCTCCTCCAACGCAACGTCCATCGCCTCTTCTTCAGCAGCCGCCAGGATCTGTTGATTATATATTTCCGAACACTGGCGGTACGTTCTTTCCCATGAGGCAAAGTCGGCACTGGGGAACAGTCGTTCCCAGGTCATGCGTTGGATTTGGGCGGAGTCTTCCACCATCTCCCGGACGAGCTCTTGTTTTTCTTGCTCGGCCTTGTCCGAGAGCTCTTGGGTAAGACTCTTCTCCTGGTTCACCAGGCGTTCTTTTACGTTAGCCAAAGATTTCTCCATGGCTTCGTAAGAGTGCATTTTCTGGCGAAGGGGTTTCAGCTCGGCTTTAAATTTGGTGACGGTCCCCTCCAGCTCGTCAACCTTCTTTTGGGCCGCCTCTAGCTGAGCCCGAACAGCGGCGGTCGCCTGCGCCTGATAATAAAGAAGATCAATGGTCAGTACTTCATTTTGGGCAATTTGAAACATTGCTTTATCACAGCTGGAGGCGGCCATAGCCTTTGCGGCCTTTACCTCTTTGTTTTTCCGATCAATCGGCTTGCGAAGGCTGTTGACTCGGAGCAGGGCCTAAGTACAAAGAAAAACAGGCGTCAGTTTCCAATCATAAGGGTTAACAGGCGTCCTGGAACTTCAAAAGGGTATACCTCAGCTAGGATCCCCGAAATTCCATCGAGGTCAAGGGTGCCGGCACCCTTGACCGCCTCCCTGTCAGAGGGAGGAACTACTTTAACCATTGACTTGGCTACCTCAACCAAGTCAAGTCCCTGGGGGCCGGCTGCATTAAGCAGAAGGAAAAACAAGTTAGACCTAATCAAGAAGGAAGCAAGAGTGAGTTTTTACAAGCAAGTGTCCATACATCTAGGCGGCCCCGCCTGGGTTTTTGAAGAAGTGGCCGGCTGCTTCTCAGCCGCCACTGTTTTCCTGGAAGACCCAGGAGAGCTTGCAACAGTCGTTCTCCGGGCCTTGGGGTCCGGCTGTTGCGAGGAAGAAGCCCTTGGAGTGCCAGACTGAAAACAAAAAGAGTTAGTATATGCATAATACAACTTAAAGGGGAAGAGTTTTCAAAGCTTACCAAGGGTGCCTCCTTGCTGGGGGAGTCGGCGTACGACTGCTTCATTAGCGAAACCCGCAGCATGGCCGCCGCAGTCTTAGATGCTGTTATTTTACTCATGGCGTCGGCTGAAAGAAATAAACAGCAAAGTTAGTAAAAATCCCAAGTAAACAAGGCGTGAGAAAACAGAGTATTCGTCAGGCCGGCTACCTCTAGAGCACCGACTGCCGAGGCCACAGGCGGCCAAGAAGTACTCATCATAGAGCCACTTGAAGCTCGGGACGCAGTGTAGGGGTACTTGCTCTCGTACCCCTGAAGTAGAGTTCACCCTAGTCTCTACTTTGAAGAGTCCTTTGTCTAGGATCTCTCTTTTAGCCTTTGGGGGAACAGGCGGCATGCTGCGGCCGCCTGCAAGAAGAGGCGGATCTCTGTTCCACTTGTTAAAACGTTTGTTCAGCTCCGTGTCTGAACTCTCGATAATAAGGAAGGTGTTCCGCCAATCCTTCCATTTGTTTGCCTTACCTCTCGTCATGAGGTAACCCCTGTGGCTTGTTAGTTGATACCAGCCGGTACCTCCCGACTTAGGGGTCCGGCTGAGATAGTTCATGTGGGCGAAAGCCTCAAAACTTGGCTCCACCCCGTTCAGTTCGCACCCGGCCACATAGCCGAGTACGTTTACCCAAGAGTTGGGGGCTAACTGCCATAACCCCAGATCATACCCATCTAAAATCCGCTGAACAGCCGGATGTAATGGGAAGCGCAGACCAGCTTTGATGGCCGCCACATAGCAGCCAAAACAGCCGTCACCATAGCTGGTACCAGCCGGCCAGACGACAGTATCTTCTGGATCCGGCACAAACAGTAAATACTCCGGGCTCATTTTGTGGTTAGCAATAAAGCTCGCCACGTTGTCTCGCATGGTTGCGATCCGGCCCCGGGGCACCCTGCAGTAGTAGGGGGTGTTTTCCTCTCTGTAAGAGGCGGACGGCTCTGCCCAATTATCCCCCTTCTCCACTGCATGGGAACTTCTCGCCTCTTGTAGGCGGTTATGTTTTTCTTCTGAGTCAGAAGAACTATGGTCAGAAGAACTATGGTCAGAAGAGCTGGAATCGGACTCGTCCCCTGACGAGTCCGAAGAGGACGACTCCTCCCCTCTCCTAGAGGGGCCCGCCTCCTCTCCCTTAGAAGGAGCAGAAGGTAAATTAGACATGTCCACGGTTAGATGAGAAGGGAACACCTTGGTCCCTCTCTCAGAACTGTCAGCTTGACAGTCGCCTCGTTCCACATCTGGCGCCTGGTCAGATGTTTCGCTAAGGAGTACCCTTTGGGAGGAGCCGTCTGAGTTTGATATTCTAGCAGTCTTTTTTGTTCTGGCCATCACGTTCTGCATAGACACAGATTCAGTCGGACTTTGTATAAAGGGCAAAGATGGGTCCAGAAAAGGGCAGGCGGCACTCCTAGTCCTAGATTCAGCCGTCCCCGGTGACCGGCTGATCACTAACTTAGGGCGTGTCGTGTGCTTCCATGGTGCCATTTCAAAAAATAAAAAGAAAATTAAGAGTAAGAGAACTGAGTTACCTGAACGGATGACAGTTGATGAAGTCCTGAAAGTTCGGGTCAGTCGGCTTGTCAGAACAGGCGGTAGGCAGAAAAAGTCCGAAAATGTCAGATCAAGTTCAGGGGTCCGAATGTTCTCGCAAAAATTCTCAAATGTGAAAATGACCGAAGTCAGCACTTCCTTTTATAGGCAAAATGAGAAGGCGAAGGGTCGCTTCCGAATTCAAATTTGGGCGGGAGGATCTCCCGGCCGTCTGCAAGGTGACACCTGTAACGGGCCGTCGCCTGTCACCGTGCGACACCTGTCACAGGCGACACGTGACCAGTCGCGTGCCACCTGTGAGGGGCAAATGATTAGGGGATTTTTATCCACCAAGCGCCGTTTGACAAGTGGACCAACCAGGTTCCGCCACGCGTCCTCCACGGACCACTTAAGACACGCCACGTGTCCACCCATGCCAAATGGGACAACCGGCCATCAAGGCCCATTTCAGTCTAGAAGCCCGATCGGCCCTAGGTTTACCTTAAACCTAGAGAGTTGCACGCTTCCCAAGGCTATAAATACTCGATTAATCCTCATTAATCAGGGGACCGAATAATTTACGGAACACACTAATAACCGGCTGATCTCGCTAGCAAAGCAGATTACCTACATTAAATACTCTCACCTAGAGAGACCTTGTTACTTTAATTTCTGTATTAATTACTCCTTAATCAGGTACTAACTTGACCGTTGGAGGCGGAGCTCTCAGGAGTCTCCGTTATTTTGCAGGTACAGGCGTCCGGTTCCAGTCTCGGAATTGTAGCTCTCCCGCAGGACATCAGAAAACCCCAAAACAAGTGTTTTTTTTTTTTTTTTTTTTTTTTTTTTTTTTTTTTAACAAAGGAAATCAGGTTTTCGTTATGGGTCAATTGGACTATAATTATTGTCGGTTCGATCATGTGCTTGACCTTTACATGTCTAACTATGAATGAATTAACTAAAAGACCTAATTTAATTTATTCCTCTCGTAAAAATTAAATAAAGAGGTGTAAATATAGGAGCTTGTCGACAATGAAAACAAGACAACACTTGTTCTTATGTTAGAGCTAGATCTAGCCATTTGTAATAAATTTTTTCCAACTAGCATTTTAATCAAATAAAAAACATTACTAACTGCTACATAAAACGCTATGTGAAACATGACTAAAAGACCAAACTTTATGAATCCAACAAAACCGTATATGGTCAATATGGGCCTAGCCAAGTAGAGCCATAACCAAAAGAATGTCATAGTCCGACGAAGTAAAGATTACTTACTTTGTATTGTTGGTATGTAATATTGTTAATGGTCTTGGATTTTAATTTTTGATTTCATAGGATCCTTGCATATCCTTCAAGTTGAAGCCCTCGTGTTCTCTCTTCTCCAAAGTTCCTCTCTTTCTGGTTAGTAACTCCTATCCCTTTTACAGAAATTCTGTTTCTTTATGCTTTTCTTCTATGTTAGATTTCTAGAATTCTACTTATAATTAAATTATTATTTTTTTCGATTTCTGGGGTAGAAACAAAAGTTTTTTTTTTTAAAAAAATCATTTTGGATATCTTGAGGTATGTTTCAATTTGACAAGTTTGGGGAATGATGTTGTGGAATCCGGTTTTTCTTAATCAAGTTTTTGCTGATTGTTATTCTATAAAATCCCTATAACAATGGTTGATTATCATGAAATGGGTACTATTCATTGGCCTTAATTTTCACATGGGCTTCGATTGAATTATCGATAGAAATAAGATTTGATTGAAAGCATCGTTGGTTTTGAGGCAAAAGATTAAAGTTTTGGATTAAAGTTTATGCTGTGAAAGAGCCTGATATAATGTAATTATCTGCATGGAATTATCATTTCTGTGAATAAAATTGACTTGTAAAATGTGCATGTAGTGAAGTAAATTGGCTACTAAATCTGCATAATTCTAGGGTTGATAGTTCTGTTGTGTGGATTGTATTAAAATTTGAATCAAAATTTCCATTTGTAGATAATTTTCAATATATGGGTGAAACGGGCAAGCGATATCGAGGTCAGAGAGAAAACTATGGGGATAGTAAGAATCAGAGAAGACGGACTGATAAGGAGGAGAAGGGCGGTGATGAATTGATTGCATACAGGATTCTGTGTCCTGACACGGTTATCGGTAGTGTGATCGGTAGAGCTGGAAAGGTGATAAATTCGATAAGACAGGAGACGAGAGCGAAGGTGAAGGTGGTGGATCCATTTCCTGGTGCCAAGGAAAGGGTGATTACTATCTATTGTTATGTAAAGGAGAAGTTAGATATTGAATTTGATGAGGAGTATACCAATAATGCACCCCTTTGCCCTGCTCAAGATGCTCTTCTTAGAATGCATGCTGCCATTGCTAATGCATTGTCCAGCTTGGGTGATTTTGAGAGGAGGCAAAAAGATATAGAAGAGTGCAACATTCTCGTCCCAGCTAGTCAATCTGCTAATGTAATTGGCAAGTCGGGGACCACTATAAAGAAATTGAGAAGCAATACAAGGGCTAATATTAGGGTTACTCGTAAAAATGATACGGACCCGAGTCATTCGTGTGCTATGGATTTTGACAATTTTGTTCAGGTCAGTCGCTCTTTGGAATAAGTTTATGTTATGTGTAGTTCTTAGCTTACAAGTTCTTGCATGAGGTGCATCCCTTTGCATCAATCTTATCATTGTGCAGCAGCATGTATACTTGTGAATTATTTTCAAATTTTCTTATGCAGCTTCTTAGTTTGCCATCTTTTGCAAGTTGTTTTTTTTAAAGGTAAAATAAAGGAAATTAGTATTTGTAATCTTTATGCACAGTAAGGATAACCTTGCCTCTCTACAGTGTTGAATTGGTGATTATCATCAATTGATGTTGTAATCTTGTTGCTTGTGTTGCTATAAGCAGGTTGTCCAAAGTTTGTTGAACTGGCTATAGCAATTGTAATTTGAGTAGCCAATATGGCATGTAGATTTAATTCTTGTATTTGTAAATTTCATGCCAAGAGTTGTTTTTTAACAGCTCTAAAGTTTGAATAGCTCGGGCAGAGTGCTCACTATCGCTATTGCTCTTTCTACTGGCTTTTTGATATCGAAGGTGTTTTCAACTTATTTCTTCATATTGGAAAACACTTCTGTAACTTGATGTCAATCTTTTGCTTTTGTTAAATCTCTGTCTTTAATCAGATTTCAGGAGATTCTGAGGCTGTTAAAAGTGCGCTGTTTGCTGTTTCTGCAATCATGTATAAGTTTGCTCCTAAAGAAGAAATTTCCCTTGAAACTAGTGTGCCCGAGGTTGCACCAAGCATCATTATTCCTGCTGACATGCCTGTTTATCCTGCCAGCGGATTTTATACTGATCCCATAGCTCCTTCTAGGTCTGCTTCTCTAATGGATGCTCATGCACCAGAACTTTCTGTTCCAGGCTATGCTGATTCAGGAGGCATGTGGTCTGTTGTTGTCCCTGGTTATAATGGGGCCTCTCGGTCTGAGGAGCTGACAATACGGGTTTTATGTCCTTCTGATAAGATTGGGCGTGTCATTGGGAGAGGAGGGTGTACTATCAAAAGTGTAAGACAGGCCAGTGGTACACACATTGAGGTTGATGATACTAAAGCTACCCGAGATAAGTGCAGTGAATGTTTGATTACTGTAACTTCAACTGAGGTATGACTTCTGTTTTATTACTACAACTAACATATGTCTTCTCTCTAATCTTCTCTGTTACTACCTTGTTTCCACTGTGATTTTTATTTTTCCCTGCATTTTGGTTTCTTCCTTCTGTTGTACTCTTGACATGCCACCTAGGAACTATTACCTATGAATCAGGTTTTTTTTTTTTTTTTTTTTTTGAAGAAATTAACAATCAATTAGTTTGTTTAGTAGTAATGAATGAATGAAAGGGATAATATTTGGTATATAGCTTTTCTTAAGCTTTTTGAATCATCATCAATTCATCATTGCATTTCTGGAATGTGGGTTTTTTCCCCCACAAAGCTAAAAGCTCTTTGGTATTGTGTGGATATTTACCATTGATGCTTTGTTAGGTTCCTTCTTATCAAATCACTTTTTTAGTTCGTTAGTGTTTAAGAGGATATAAATGTAGAGTTGAATGGCTGACTCCCACTGTGTTTTTTATTTTGCCTTGCATTTTGGTTTCTTCCTGCTGTTGTACTCTTGACAGCACATGCCACCTAGAAACTATCACCTATAAATTAGTTTTTGTTTTTTTTTTGAATAAATTAATAATCAATTAGTTTGATTAGCAGTAATGAATGAATGGAAGGGATAATATTTGGTATATACCTTTTCGTAAGTTTTTTGAATCATCATCACTGCATTTCTGGAATGTGGATTTTTTCCCCTGTGGTATTGTGTGGATATTTATCATTGATGCTTTGTTAGGTTCCTTCTTATCAAATCATTTTTTTAGTTCGTTAGTGTGTATGAGGATATAAATGTAGAGTTGGATGGCTGATTCCCCCACCCCCCCCTTTTGGGTGCATATAAGTTCAGTGGCCTCCATTAAATTGATACAAAATTGTCATAATTTAACAGTCCCCCCTCCCTCCCTCTTTCCACTTTGCAACTGTTATTCTAGTCTTGAAAGACAAACTTAAATTTTTTAAAGTAGATATGCTTTTTAATTATCTGTACAAGCTATGAGATACACCCATATTGCGTGTGCATTATAAGAAATTTATGTGTCTCATTTCTCCCTTTTTTTCATGAAATATTATCTATCTAATTCTAATTAAAAAAAGTCTTCCAAAAAAAAAAAAAAATTCCTAATTAAAAAAGTATTAGTGAGTTTAAAAATTGATGAAATTATGGAGGCAATAGAAGGATATGACTTCTCTAAAAAAAGGATAGTAATGTAGTTTTTTTTTTTTAATTTTATTTTAATTAAGGTAGCTTTTAATTTTTTTTATATAGAAGATGGTAGTTTTTATTTTTTTATTTTTTAATTATTTATTTATTTTTTAATTGATGGTAGTTTTTTTTTGTAAAAAAAGATAAAATAATAAAGGTAGTTTTTTTTTTTTTTTATATAGAAAATTAAAGATGATAGGGGTATTTTGGGAAAAGAAAAATTTATCACCCAAAACCCCTTTTCACTTTATATATTACTATAGATAAGGTAAAAAAATATTATAATATAACGTTCCCCCTTGTGAGTGTGATTTCAAAACTCATGGTTGCGAGATTAAAACCTTTCCACCAAGCCAAGCCTTGCTTGGTCATTGCTGTTGTCCTTCTTAAAAATTACATTTATCCTGTATTGGCTGACATGAGTGTATATGCTCTTTGTATTGTATGTACGGGAATTGTCAATTATTACCGTAAGACTTCTTGCTAAGTATTGGTTAAATTTTAATAATATATTTTTAAAATTTGTATTATGGAACTCTTGTGATAAAATTGCTGTTTCATGGCAGTCATCGGATGATCTACAATCAAAGGCAATTGAAGCTATCCTATTACTTCAAGAAAAGATCAATGAAGATGCTGAAAATGTTACCATGAGCCTTCTTATTCCATCTAGAAATATTGGGTGCATTATAGGGAAGAGCGGTTCAATAATCAATGAGATTAGGAAAAGGACCAGGGCTGATATCCGGATTTCAAAAGTAGACAATCCCAAGTGTGCTGATGAAGGTGATGAATATGTTGAGGTACGAATCCTATAATTCTTAAGTTTTTAAAACTATTCCTTCTAGCTGAATTAATTTTTGTTACTTCTTATATCATGTTAGGTGTCTGGAGAAGTTAAAAATGTCAGAGATGCACTTATACAAATTATTCTTAGGCTCCGTGATGATGCTCTGAAAGATAAGGCTGGTGCTAGCAATCCTTCTGTTGCTCCTGATTCTTTATACCCTGGTAGCAGTGGATTTTCACTGCCTCCTGTTTTACAAACTGTTCCTCCAGTCAACCCTTTGGGTTATGAACCAAGAACTGAGTCTGGAGGTGGGGTTGGCAATATTGGCATGTATTCATCTAGTAGCCATTACAAATATGGATCATTGTCGGTATGTTAAATTCACTCTTTAACTGTACCTTCCCCTTAGCTGCAATGATCTGTGTTTGTTACTGATCTGATATTCTGATCTATGTATAAAAGAGAACCTCCTTATAATGTTGGCTTGAAGCTTATGGGTTCTAATGTGTTGATTTATGATTGTTATGGCTATGGTGTAGCACAAATCCCATCTTTATGTTGGATTACGTGCTTCCCTCTGGAATTCTGGTTTGAATTCTCAGTATGGGGTATGGTGTTCACGCCGCACAATAGCTACTTCCTGTGGTGGAGCCACATTGTCCTAAGTGGGGTCCTTTGACCTTACTTAAATTTGCTAAATAAAAATTTTCAAGTGTAAAATTTTGAATGTCATATTTTCTATCAAAATTTGATCACTTGATCCTAATAGATTTTAAACAAAAGTATTTTGACCCCACTTGATTATATTTCTAAATTCGCCGCTGCTGGCTACTTCCTCATTTTGCTGATCATTTAATATTGATGTTGTATGAGTTGTTGTGTCTCCTTCCCTTTATTCTCTTGTAGATATCTGGGGTTTGGTTGCAGAAACAAAGGATTTTAAAGGTTTATTTAATATTGTTTATTATGTTCCCCTTGCATATCTAATCATCTAATCGAAGATATAGCTTTTATGAAATAATTTCTAAGTTATTTTCTCAAGACTACCTCCTCCCTTCACTTAGCACTTACAAATTTTTCCATGGTTTTTTTTTTTTTTTTCTTTTTCCCTTTGATTCTGGGTTGTTTAGTTGAATATATATATATATATATATATATATATATATATACACACACACACACACACACACACACACACACACAATAGTTTACAGTTTTACTTAACAGTCAAAATATATGTTGGCTGGAGGCTGGATTTAGGTCTTTGTTTTTATTCTTCTATGTCGAGTAATTTTATTCTTGATTTTGTACATTCCAGATGGGAGATGATGGATATGGATCCTCGTATTCATCCAAGCTTTATGGAGGGTATGATTATTATTATTTGCTTAAAAACCCAATTTTCATTTCTAGCTAAACCTTTTGCCTGTGTTGATTGTTTTCTATTCTGGTTATGGCATGGAACAGATTGCTGCAATCCTCTACTCTGGAGATAATGATTCCCGCTAGTGCAGTAAGTAAAGTTATTGGAAAAAGCGGGGCTAATCTTTCCAATATTCGTCAGGTACATTCTGTTTTCCGATTTGATGTGAGATTTTCCATTTTGGTTTTGCTCATGTGTCATTAGTGTATACATTGTTGAAACACATGCTGACATATCTGGGTGGATAGCTGAGCTTTGAGAGGTTTCATTCCTATTGATAACCTTATCTTTACGTAGCTGCTTATTACTAGTCTATGCGCTCAAAATGTGTTTTTTATGGCTGTTAATGACTGAGTCAAGCTATGTACTACTGATCTCTGCTTAAGATTCACTAGATTGACTACTCAACTTATGTCTATGATCGTAACTTCAGACAGTTGAAGCTTTAACTGATTTGGCACTGCTGAGCCCATGCTCACTCAACCATTGCATATTCTCTTATTTTTCTTTTCTTGGCTTGATTATGTTATTAGTTTATTACAAGACGAGCTTTTGAAATTATGAGTAATTGAGTAGTTCTGTACCTTTATTTTCTGATAGGGCCAGATATAAGCTTAAGGACCTGAGTACCTCATCCGCTCATCAATTAAACTCAGCTTATCTTATTTCTATAACGAATAGAAGAGCTATGGTTTTGTTATGTCCACTAACTCATCAAATTGAAGCTTGAGTGAGATTTTTTTAAAGAAATTTAATCAGCTCTAGACATTTACTTTCCAACATGAAACTGAACTTTGAATTTGTGGACTATATGTATGGAGTGAAGGTTTTTTTTTTTTTTTTTGATTTGTGTTTGCTGATCTTAAGCTGTCTTTCTTTTTCTGTGAGTCCTTTCCTCTTTGTGTTGTTTCGAATGATGAGGCTTTAAGTATCTAACATTCTTTGGAATTTCGCTTGTTTTTTTGGTCTTCTAGATATCTGGAGCAGTAATAGAGATTTCTGATCCAAAGTCTTCTCGTGGAGACCGTGTGGCACATATATCTGGCACACCTGAGCAGAAGCGTTCAGCTGAAAATTTAATTCAGGCATTCATTATGGCTACTTAAGTGTTTTCTTTGTAGAAAAGTTGAAACTGGACTATAAGGGTGTTATTCTCTATACACTTTCTCTAGGCTATTCCATCAGTTCTCCTTTTTACAATATTCCACCAGTTTGTCTCCATCAAAAATGCCAATCAAGATATTGTGCCAGAGGATTCGCACACAGATCTGTCTAGATGGAGCTTAGATCTCATGGCTACTTAGTCTACTCATCTTTTGCGGGCTGCCTTGCTTTAGTTAGGATCCTTCAATCCTTTCTTGACTTTGTGCTATCCATCTATACTCTTGCAGTTTCCATAAATAACATATTGTTTCTGACTGAAAGGTTTTTCTTCTACTGAACATAATAATCAAACCAGTGTTGCATGTTCTGGTGTTCATATGCTTTTCCTCCATTCCTCCTATATAGCTTCTCAGGTTTATTTTTTGCTATAATATTCGTTCAGAAACTGCATCTGCTTTTCATGTCCTCTTATGCTCTTCCATGTCAGTCAATGTCAGATTGTCAGCTTAAGGTCTGAGAATTTGAGATTCTGAGATATAGTTCTCGGAATTTAAAGCTTGTAAATGCTGTGGGGAATGTTTATATTCCCTTTTCTAGTCATGTAGGCCTGATCCGTGTCATAATGCTTGATTTGAGATCATGTTGCCTTGTAAGTGTCATGTTCCTGAATTGTCCATTAGACACAATAGCTTGATCTCTGCCCTTCTTCTGCTTCTGAAATTCAGTGTTTTGAATCTGCCTGCCATTGAAGTTATTTACTCAGAAATCTGAAAGAATTGTATCTACCTGGATTTGAGTTTATTAACTCAGCTAACTTCTAATACCAGCTTTTATGGTACAAATCCATTACAAGAAGCATATTCTGCTGTAGTAATTGGCAGCAAACTCAAATCCTAGGCTCCTAGCTCCCTTTTAAAAAAAAATAAAAAAACTGTTTGCTGTAGTTAAGTTATTTTGGTCATTTCATAGTGATTTCCCATTGTGAGGGTTTGTCTCTGCAGTCTAAATTCTAATCTTGACTCAACCTCTTTTTTTTTTTTTTTTTCTAATATTAATCTCTTCATATCTTTTGTTTTGTTTATTAGCAATTACAGGCCCCCTCTTTGGAGTAACTCATTTTCTTCTGTGCTTTTTTGAAGCTGGATTTCCTTAGAGAAATGTTATGATGTCCAAAGTTTTTTTTTTCCTCTATGTATATTACTCGTGGTTTCCTGCTATCATCGGCTCCTCTCTGCCTTCTGTTTCCTTTCTTTTTCCATCCTGAATCATAACTTGGTGTCTTGGTGTGTGTTCTCGAAGAAAAGAGAGTAAATTATGCACATTCACTGTGCTATTGGGATGAAATTGATAATGTGTAGAACTATGTCAACGGGCTAGCAATTTTAGTGCTTAGAGATGTTGCCTTTTCTTTTCCTTGCCAAACAGCTCATCAGAGGAATGGAGGAAGATGTTTAGGACTCTAAAAACCAAAATTATCATTCTATGCTAGTAGGCCCTTTCCTGTAAAGTTTTTTGTATAAGCTTAGATTCAAAGGTAGTAAAAGAAAGTATTAAGAACTTGTGAGGAGCCTTTTCTAGTCATGAATTCTTAATCTTAATATGTTTATCTCTGGCTCCATTTCTATTAGCTTATATGTTTTCTAGAAATTATGGTGTTAGATTGCTTAACCTCCAATTAGTGGAACATCTGTTGCTTCTTGTTAAACCCTGATGAACTTAGAAATCTTTTTCCTTTTATTCTTGGTTTGGTTTTTGGTACTAGGTCTCTTAAGCTACTTGAAGAGTGGACAACACAAGAAGCATGAAAGAAAAGATATTTAGACCCAAAATGTGTTTTTTTTTTCTTCTCTTTTGTGATTGTGGGTTTTTCAGATTTCTTGATTAGCATTCTTTACATCCTTGCCCCCTGCTGTGTGTCGATTTAGTTATATCTTATATTTTGCTTGTGGTTTTTTCGTGAGCTGGGTTCACATTGGGAGGTAGTTTTTGTTGATGAGCCTGAAAACTGAAATAGGATATCATTTTGTAGGCTATATAAAGCAAGCACATCTCACCTGCTGCTTTCTGGTTAAGAAGATGGTAGAGTCTGAAGGCAGTCATAGAGTCTGGACCTTTTATTTAGGTAACTTGTACTTTCATTCTAGTTTATCACACTATCTTTGAGTGCTCCAGACTAGGCATAGTTAGCTTGGTTGAATCTAGTGCTTCTATAATGTATTTGCAGCACAAGCTTTTCAACTTCTCATTTTCAAGGCAATTTAGAGAAGATGAACTAGTGGTATCCAGGTAGACATAGTTGTGTCCCAAACTGACCATAAAAAGGGTGCTTACATTTTGATCATACCTATGAGTTTGGCTGCTTTTTAAGGTATTATAACTCCAAGGAGTTGATTGAAAACGTCTCTGTTGATCTTGGTGACTTTGTTGCAATGTGCTGGCTTGTGCTGGGTGCTTGATGTCTGTCCAGGTAGTTTTACAGCGTTGCTGTGATTTAACATAGCTTGTGCAGTTATTACAGGCTTACATTTTTGGCGTGGTTTAAGCTGTGTAGGTATTTTGTTGGTTGCCTGTTTTGCTCCTTTAATTTTGTTGGCTTTATTTGGATTAGTAATTGTTGCAGGTCTTGTAATAATACTTAGTAGATAGTGTTGTTGAATTTTTATATTGACTATTGGATAATATTCTATTGTGTACATGACCGCCTTATGACATGATCTTAATGAATATGCATCTGAGCTTTGATCTTCGCTTGTTAATATTGTTATATTGATACATTAAAGTTATACCTACAGACAAATGTTTGTTGATTTTTTTTCCCTGTGGGACGAATATTCTTTTGATGTTGCTCCGTATTATGTATGAAATGCTCTTTGAATTCCACAAAAGCGAACAATTTTGTGCGATAGCCCAGCTCTTTACTTCGTACTAGCGTACTCTTTGCTACTCTTACCACATTTCTGTTATCGATGCTTTGCCAAATGCTCAATCTGGCCCTCAAATGTTAATGCACAGGTGTACACAAATGAGTAAGGTGACGAGTTAGATTGAATTGGTATTAGAAATTGTCAATTGTTGTGGTACAGAATTGATTAAAAAGGAGCATATGTTGAAACGGATGAAATTTAAAATACGGTTTAACTAAGCTACTCAACTCTCGATTACAGTAAATGCATTTGATTTCAGAAGCTTAATTAAATCTTCAGGAAATACAGAAATATCGATTCCTACTTCTATAATGCAAGATTCTAATTATTTCTACAATTCAATAACCCAGATTCCCAACACCATAACAGTACACTTGTTACGCGATCTTTTTTGTTTTGGGCGTTGAGTTGAGGCAAATCTTTCGGATGGACAATTAATTAGGCTAATAGAGTAGGAATACTGGTTGTGTTTAGTGACTAGATACCTGCATAACCTCTGCTGGAAGTCTGGGGAAAAATGTTAATACGTAGTTTATGTCTCAGATGCACAAGGTTAGAGTGAAAAAAATGTGGTGATATAGTCATATAACTGTGCCATGATTTTCTTTTAATGCACAAACGGCTCCCCGTATAAAAACATACTTGTTCTGTCTCCTAGTTTCTCCAACTCCAAGAGATGTCCTTTGTTGATGTTAGTAAAGCACTAACTTGAAGCGTTGAATACGATCAAGTGTAGGATAAACATAGATCATTTTGTCTGCTGGACTTGGCTAGTAATGTGTGATACTGTATCATTTGTGTATTGTGTAATATGAAGTAGAGCACATGCGCTTGGGGTAGCTGGGGTGCTGCTGCACTAAACAACATAATAAACCTGCTGCTTACGGTGCCTTCTAAGCTTATCTGTTCTGCTGCACTAATATTTCCTGTGGTCGGAAGGGTGATTTTCGTCTATGCTTTGTTTGTATGGTGTATATGGGTTAGACCGATGGTTTGCTTAATCTATGTATTACGAAGTAACAGGCAATTTAAGATTAGTAGTTGTGAACTCCTGATTATACGAATAATACAGTGTATGTGTTACGATTTGGACATGATTTTCGCTAACTAGTAGTTTTACCTGATGGTATTTCTTGATCTTATTATTACACAAGTTGAATTTATCATTTTTATCACACCTCCCACAAATACAAAGTAACCTTTGTGATAGAAAACTTAGCGCCATCAAATTTGTAGGTGGTGGTGGGGTAAGACTATGAGAACTGTGTTTTATGTTCAAATCTTTCGGCCATGAAAGTACAATTATTGAAAGTATTTTACTTAGTGGAGTGAAAAAGTTGGTTACTTTCTAGTTAACTTGATACTTTCTACTCTCTTTCTCCTCCTATTTTTTCTACATCTCTTTTTTCCTTTGATACCTTCTCATATACTGGTTCTAGGAACAAATATCACAGAACAAATATGTCGATAACTTGCAAGGTTGGACTAGAAAGCAGAGTTGTAAAAACCACAGTAGTAAAAACCATAGCCCAGCTTGATCAAAGTCTAAGGGAATTGCTTGTCAGCATAAGCCAAAATGTACGCGGTAATACTTGTAAATGTGTTGTAGGTTTGGGAGTTGAGAAAGAGTTTAGACCGTCCTCTAGTGCTGATGGCGTTGGAGGTAACCACCAAGTTTCAGAAAGAGTTGCAATATTGAAGCTTTGTTATGGCACCAGTTGTCTGATCATCCAGTTGCTGCAACTGAAAACAGCGCCTTGCTCACTGTCCAACTTTCTCCAACTCCGAGGGTTATCCTTTGTGGGTGTCGGGATCAGGCACTGTCTTGAGGCGTTGGAGAGGGATTACGGGATCAAGTGTAGGAACGCTGTTGATTTAGGCCAGTTGGCCTCGGCTATCAAGGAGAAAGAAGTGTATAAAGGGTATGGTCTCCTGGATTTAGTGAAAGAGCTGTGTTTTTCTGATGTGAAGAAGCATTTGATGGATAGTTTTACTGCTACAGCTCTGAGTAACTGGGGTGTTACCACATTATCCCAGAAACAGATTGAAGCAGCCACTTCAGATGCTTTCATATGCTTTTATTTAGGCAATGACTTGTTCGGAGGGTACATAGGTTCTACTCCATTTTAAAACTGATTACGAGAGATATTCGGAGTTCGAGTACTTAATATTATGATAGATAGTTGTCAATTGTTGTCTACCAGTATTATGAATTATTAAGATTGTAACTTAATTTGATATCATTTGACTATATTAAGGCAATAAAGTTTAGATGTCATTGATTATGTTCTTTTATATAGGCTATGAGTTGTGTGGAGGTTATACGGCTTTTTCGTACTTTATTTCTTACATTATCAATTGTTTGAAGCATAGAACATAAACATGAATGAAATAAAAAATCTCAACAAAACATTATGTTCAGTGCGAATGATGCATAAACTTTGCATTACAAAAATGTACCACTTAGAAGAGATGCCAAATTTTAAATACTTCCTCCGTTTTATATGAGATGTATTACTCGTATTTTGTAAAACACGGACTTATAGAAAAATTTTAGATGGAGATAGAGAGTATATTTACTAAAATGAAAAGTGATGCATCTAATTTGAAACTTCGTCATTTAGAAAATTATGCATCTAAAACAAATCAAAGAAAGTAGAAAAGGCATTAAATAATGTAAAATCATGTTATTAATTGAATTGACAAAAGTCCCACATTGGTCAGATACAAACAAAATACTGTGTTATAAACCAAGACAAGCAAATAATAGGATACGGCCTGACTTGAACTGGATATGTTCTATAGGATCGTACCCCTATAACCTTGAGTTCTAAGGAGACAGAAAACCAAGTCAGGTGGATGAATTATGATTGTTCGATCAGTTTTTTGTTTGTTTTATCCAATGTATATCTATCTATATTCATTTCTTTTGTGTAACAAAATGGAGTTTCAAATGGTTTGAAACGAACAATAGCATTATATAGAAGAATTTAAGAACGCCTAAATCCTTCATATAGAAGCATCTGTGCAAATATGCTTTGAAATGAACAATAGCATTATGAGAAGAACTTGCAATAATCAAGTCGTCCACATAGACAAGCACATGCAATGAGAACATAACTAAATAGAGAATTATCAGCATAAGATGGTTTAAAACCAAAGTGTCGCAAAACGCTTGATAACGTAGCACCATTAACGCGGAGCTTGTTTCAAACCATAAAGATAGAGACTTTCTCAACTTGCAAACTTTCCTCTGAACTGGAGGACATAGCCTAGCGGAAAATGCATATAAACCTCCTTATCCAAATCACCTTGAAGAAAAGCATTATGAACATTCATCTTATGCAATTCCCAATTCAAAGAAACAACAATAGGAAGAAAAAGACATACCGTACCCATCTTAGCAATAGGAGCAAATGTTTCATGATAGTCGACACCTTCAACATGTAGATTGCCATGAACAATTGAACGCGCATTCAAACGCTCCACTTTAGACTTGTCGGTATATTTTATTTTATATACCCATAACCACTGCCAATCGCTTTCTTGTTGGGAGGAAGATCCTCAACGGTCCACGTACCATTTCACTCTAAGGCATCAATCTCATCTTGCATCGCCTTGCGCCAACCGTCACATTTAACCGCCTTTTTAAATAAATACGGTTCCTTTCCCTTCGTAATTGCCATCTTAAAACACCTATGTCTCAAAGAAAACTTATTATATTCAACATGACAAGCTATAGGAAAGGCATACTTAAAGAATGAGATTGTGAAGGGGTGACTGATGTGTCTATTTTTTATAGTATTTTACCCCCGTCCCTTGGTCATAATTAGTAGTGTTTTTGGCTCTTAAAAGCCACTTTTATTACTAATTGGTGTTTTCTAGTGTTTTCGTAGATTTGGTTGACTTTTGCAGGGATTTATGCTTTTGGAGTATTTTTTCGAGATATTTTGGAGCAATCACGAGCATTGGGGAAGCACGACCAGAGTTTATAGCCCAGGGCCGGTTAGAGCCATCGAACCGGTGATTAAGGGCTCGGTATAGGTGATACCAGGACATTTGGACCGAGTATTCAAGACCGGAAGAGGAAATTCAGATTGGCCCGAAGAGTTGGAACCCAATCTTAGTCCAAATAGTGGCCCAAATGAGCCGCCCGACCAAAAAGGCTGGCGCCCGGAGGAGTGCCCGGCCGGGCGGGAGAAGCTTTGGCTGGCACCCGGTGACGCGCCTGGCCGGGCGCAAGATTTGTATTATGAGCAAAAAGGCGCGCCCGATCGGGCGGTGCCTCGCCCGACCGGGCGCGTGTATTTCTTAGGAGACGTTTAACGTAGTTTTAATTTGTTTTAATTTAGGATTTGGTACGGAGTATAAATACTCCCCCGTAATACGATTTTAGTATCTCTTTACTCTCTTAATTATTCTCTTAGATTTCTTTTCTCTTAAACCTTTGTTCTTAATTTTACTCTTAATTCCAGATTTATTTTGGTAACGATTTCCCTTCCCTTAATCTTAGTTATTTACTTTATTCTTTTTTAATCATGTCTTGCTTTATTACTTCGATTAGTTTAGATTTAATTATTTGTGAGTAGTTTTATTTCTAGGGTTTATGGGGATCCATAAATAATATGAAGGGGTAATTTATTGTTGTTAATTATCAATGCTAGATTAATTTCCTATTGATTGATTTAATGCTCTGTGACTAGATTAGGCCTATCTTTTATAAATGAGTTTGACAACATTGATTCGAGATTCGACAGATGAGAATTAATGTTTAGGTCTAGTTTCAATAGGCAGATTAATTTATAAATGGTTAAGTCGAGATTCGAGTGATGAGATTTAATACTGGTAAATTAATTGTGTGATTGTAATACGTAGCGAAAGCCCTTTACAATCTGGTTAATTGATGCATTGATGATTGACTATTATTGATTATTGGTATTGCATGATAATTTCTTATTGAATTGTTTTAACGTTTTACAATCGCGGCTTGTAAAAGTATAGCAATATTGAATTGATGAATCGAGCAGATGTTAATTTGATATAAGGCTATTTTCGATAGGAACTTGGATCTAATAAATTGCGAGAGCCTGTTAGATCTATGTTGATTAATAAATTGCGAAAGCCTATTAATCATGTTATTTATGCAATGTCAATGATTGATTACTATGTTTTACCCTGGAGTATTATTTATTGGTGAACCTATACCCTAGATCCTCTTATATATTGTTTTCTCTCTATTCTCAATCTTAGTAGTTTAGTTTCTTATTCGAATATAAATATTGGTTACTTAGATAATTTAGATTATAATAATTAATTAGGAGTAAAAAGACTTGTTTCCCTGTGGAGATCGACCCTACTTCCCTATCTACTTTAGTTAGAGGATTTAGGTAATTATTTTTGATTAGGGGATACGACTTTACCCTGTCAGTGACAGCTGACGAAGAAGTGGGGTCTATATTTCTCATAATGTATGTGTTTGTGACATAATGACGTATCCACGAAGGTGGACGTTTCTTACGTTGACCACGACCAAGATTTTCCGTCGAACTCCCACTCAAATTCAAAGTCGTAAACGAATTATTTTCATTAGAAATAATTTGCTCTATTACCGTACCCGAACCGAAAATCGCATTCGAATCACCACACACAAGAAACAACCCACACACTGCACTTGCGCACAAGCACCCGTCCATCACACAACAGCAGACAACAACGCACCTCAAGCACGCACAGGAAACACCACAGCGCACCACACATCGAACCTCGACCAATCAAGAGCAGCACACTAGCATAAATTAGGGAATAAAGACCGTAATTGCAACTACACCCAATTATGTGGATTTTTTTTAAAAAAAAAATCTAAGCCCTAATCTCACAAATTTGCAGAAAAATAAAGAAGAAAAATTACGAATGGGACAAACAAACCAGGATCGAAAAAAATCTCTAGAAAGTAGAGAGGTTGTGATACCATGTTAAACTCAAAAATATCCACAAAGACATATATAGTATAATACATTAGGAAACTTAACTTGCCTAAAACTCCTAAAGAATATATATCCAAATATACAATATTATCAACATAATATTAACATAACTAAACCAACTTCTAATACATGCGGGTAATAACCACTTGGTCTCTTATTTTGTTGTAGACTAATTTTTTTCGAGGATTTCAAGACTGGTTTGCTTATTATTAGTAACTAGCCTACTGGCCCGTACAATGCACGGGTTATTCATATAAAATTGTATTGTGAGATAAATGAGGAAATATCAGTAAGTCATTATAGGGTATAATCGAAAAAAGAGGCTTAGATAGAAGGTGAAAGTGCTAAAATTAAAGAGAGAATAGGAAAAGGTTAAATTAAAGGGAAGAAAAGAAGATGAAGAGATGAAGTGTGTATGAAAGATGAAGTATAAGTTTAATAAAAGAATTTTAAAAAATGGTGTAATAAAAAATTAAAAGTGTAAGATGACATGTGGCATTGTGGTTAGAGAAGTGTAATAGAATGAATGGGGACATGTGTCTTTCTTAGTTTCTTGGTTATAGTTTTTAAATACTAAACTATACATATAGATTATACTCGTCTTTGGAGCTTCAGTAAATTTTATCCTTTTCTCTTGTAGTTTTCAGATTTCTTATATGAAGTATAATCAAAGTTAATTTATCTTTCTTGATCTTTATTAGTTTTTGTTGCATTTTAATTTTATCCATAACATATCACTTTTCCCCAATTCTTGAACAAATAAGAACCCTAAATTATATTGAGCAAATGGGAAGGGGTTTTGTGACCAAGAAAAGGATAAAAAAAGTTGGATGGGAAAAAGGAGGAAATGTCAAAAGTTAAGAAAACAAGTTTACAATATTTATCCACCCTAAGAAATTTATAATCTATTATATCTGCTACCTTCGTTTCATATTCATTGCAACTTTAAAATTTTTTATATCTTACAAATAATATGATACAGAGATGGTAATTAATTATTTTTTTTGTTTTTTTTGTTTTGACGAGATGTGGTAATAATTTTCATTGAACTTGAATAGATTAGATGGGCTATTAAGAAGTCTAATCTATATCAATAGTAAGAAACATCAGAAGCCCAAATGTTTAAGGCCCATACATATGACATACTCGTATGACAAAGAAAAAAGATGTACAATACGGCTTATATATATCAGAGGAGAGCAAATTGGGAAAAACGCGAAACAACGAACCCAGTAGCAAGGTATGTCAATGGCGGTCTTCTTCCTCGAGCGATTTTCTGATGATTTAGCTGCATAATTTGCTCTATTGAAATTGAGATTATCTTGTGTTAAATTTTAAGAACGATTTAATTTTTTTATACGAGTTTAGGGTTTGTAATTCAATTCAATTAACGAGGATGAAGATGAATCAGAAGGATACAGGGTTCAGGGCGCTGAAAAATCAGATGAATACAGGTTCCAGGTTAATTTAATTCTTTTTTGTTTAATTGAATTATTCAAATAAAATCATCCAGTGATTTTGATTTTTTTTTTTTCTTGGGTCAGTCCAATTGAAGACGACGACGGTGGTTTTCGTGATGTAACTGATCCTTATTCTGGTGTACCAGAGGACTATGTGTAAGTTATCTCGTTTATCATTAATGTGTTTTTTTAGCTTATAATAAAGGACTTTAGTGGAATAGCTCATAGCTTAGCAATGGCTAATGGCTGGTTCTGTTCATGAGTAATAATGCTTGACTTTAGTGGAGTAGCCATTCATTCGTATAACCTTGCTTATCCCGATGATTGTTTCTGCCCTAACCTAACGCAAACGCATCATGATTCATTCGTATAACCCTGCTTATCCAATGATTGTTTCTTCCCTAACCTAACGCAAACGCATCATGATTCATTCCTATAACCTTGCTTATCCTGATGATTGTTTCTGCCCTAACCAAAAATAACGCGTCATGATTATCAAGTGTTAAAATTTTGATATTAGGGATTTTACAAGTAAGGACAGGACATGACTGGACTTCCCATCTTCTAGTTACAACTATGTTAAGTGTTTACTCGTATAATTTAAAATTTATGTTTATTAGAAACTCTAATTTTGAGTTCATTTCCTCTTTTATTTCAATGTGAGTTATTTAACCTTTTTGTTTGGTTATACAATATATTTGTCATACACGGATAGGATACACCTTCAAAGCTCTCAGATTATCACCTCTCTTATGATTATATTAAGTTTACGCTAATATTATAGGTACTAATGTCTCTCTGTTAATTCTGTACCTGTATATCTACTTCCTAATTTTAAGTTATCCGCAAGAGGACTACACAGAGGCCTATCGTCGTCAAAATCTTGAATTCTCCCAAATAGCACTGGAATACTACAACAAGACATGTATGTAAATTCTTTCTATTACACGTACTTAGCTTAGCCTCCTTTTTTTCATGCTTCTAGTCTTTTTCTTGTGTCATCTATTTCATTCTTGTCAAAATTTCCATGTGTTAATTGCAGCGTACCAACTATGAACTTGTTGAGCCCTTGGATAGCTCAATTTTCAGCCATTTTCCAATGTGGATGCATCTAAACTTCACGGCTAAGCTGAAATCAGCTCTTGATGGGAATGACAATTCTTCCGCCAAGCTCTTCTTTGTGGAGTTTTTTCATGAAACAGGTCGCTGGGTTGTCAATGCCTGTCATATCCTTAAAGGTAAGAAGAAGCTTCTTTCTGCCCTCAAACTTCCGAATTTTTCCTGTTCAGCATCTTAGATTCTTAGGCTGTTGTAGGTTACATAGTTGCTGATACCTGCAATATGATTGCAGCATTTGATTTTTTCTACTAGTGGATGTGCAAGACATCGTGTCAATTTGTGTTGATGGGTCTCATTTTAGATCGGGAAAGTGTAGTATTAAAATCTGTTACCATCGCTAGTTAAGTATGTATCATATTCATTGTGTTTGAGATTCGTGCATCGTAATTGGCCTTCATCGCTCATGATATGCTTCTAGGTTTGTAGTTGGTGGGCAGGAGGGCTAACATGTGAACAAAATGAGATTCTGGACAAATAAAATCAATATTTTACAATGCCGCATCAATAGCATGTTTAATTTTAAATCGAGAAAGTGCAGGTTGCAAATTTATTAGCCTCTAGTTGAGCATGTAAAATATTGGTTTATATCTGCTCTAGTTTTTGCTCTTATAATGTTTGCTAACCTCTTTGTCGTATCGTTAAGTTTGAGATTTTTGGCCTTTATTCTTCAAATTACTAGTTATGATTACATTTCGTTATGAACTTCAATTACGAAGTAAATTATTTGTCCACAGGTAAATCTAGCCGCTGTGATTTTTGTCGACTTGAGTCACTTGACACCATTAAGCATCCAACCCATGGATTTCGTATGAAGCAAATGTCTGAGCCTTATGCTTTACGCTCTCGAGCTCGTGGTTCTACAGTCGCCTAGGATGTCAACTTGGCAGCCAAGTTTTGAATTCTGCAAACAATGGTTGCATGTTTTCAACCTGTTTGATGGCCCTAAAAACCATGTTATGTACTAAGCACTATATATATAATTTTTGGAAAATATATCATATTTTATATTATTTTATTTGGGCAGGTGTAGTTGGGAGAACTGTAAGATTTTGAGATAATTTGAATTTATAAGCACTTGACATTATTTCAAATCTTTTCTCAGCTTTATAATAATTGCAACTTTTTGGTAAAAAACTTTAGACTTTTACAATTTTTATGGAGCAGAGAAAGTGTAAAATGACTCGTTGGCACCTCATTTTTGCTCGATCATTAGTGCAACTTTGTCAAAATAGTGGAAGTTTTATTGTGCTGGAAAGAGAATTATGATTTGGGGCAAGTTAAAGTTGATTGTCCGGGGTCTTTGTTCATTTTGAAGTTTCGTTTTTTTTCTTCAGAGGTTTCATTCTCAACTTGCTTCTTTCTCTTCCTTTCTTAAGTTCCCTGGCGCGTGCCTTTAATGGCTTCTTTTTTGTTTTCTTTCTTGCCTTTTGTGATGCGTTATGGTTGGTGTTTGTCGAGCTTCCCGTTTGGCAATTGAAAAGTTGAAATGATCATCATTGCATTGATTTGGTGTCTATGGAGTCTGATTTATTGGTGGTGTTGTTGGTGCTGCCGTCTGGCATTTCAAAAACCAAAGTGGCCGTTTTTGCTTTTGTAAGGTTAATTGATTTACTTTAAATTGATATTGATTACTCCGTATTTACTTTTCATATTCCCAATTCTCAGTTTTAGAATTTTGGCATTTTTCTTTCTTTTTTTCCTAATTTGTTTGATCGTGATATTTTCGGAATTGAATTTTGATCACTGTTTTGTTAGGGTTTCAATTTCGTGAAGTTCGGTTATTTCCTTGTTTCCAGAGATGCATCATTGTTAATTTGGTTTGTTTTGGGGAATTTGGATAAAAAATTGTGAGAATTTTGCTAAGTATAGACTATAGAAGGATGAGATTCATGAGAAGGTCCTGTCATAGATATCAATTTATTGTTTATTTTTTGATTTTTTTGATTGATTGAACTTTTGGTTGAGGTTTGTTCTTGTTGCATTTGTTGAATTAATTGATGTCCTGCGGTGGTTCTGAATTTTGGTAGGACCTAAGAAATTGAATTGAAAGAGAAGACGAAATTGTGTTTCAGGATAAGTATCATGCAATCATACAATTCACCTCTTACCATCAGACAGGGATGAACCCGAGAGGCCAACTGCATCTTCATCTTTTCGTTGTTTCATTCAAGATCTCAAGACTCACTTTGTAGTTAGTCGTAGTTTTGATCTTTTGATTTTGTTAAACCCTAATTATTTCCTCAGTTTATAATTTTTTCGCAACAACTCCGTATTATCTTCTGCTTTTTTTCATTTTGCTGGGTTTCCTAAATTTCATGTTGAACAATTCCCGGATTGGCATATTTGACCTTTGGAGTCGAAGTCAGCAAAGAATCATTCGAGATGGATGATAGAAAAAGTAAGCAAATACTTACTTTTTTTGTAAATTTATTATTTCTAAGATTAATATATTTCGTAAGGATCTTTAATCGTTGTAAATTCATGATAACTAATTTCCCAAAAAGTACGTCTTTAGTTGTTGTTAATTGAGTTAATTATGTTATTGTACTTAAAACATGTTAATGAGCACCGTCAAATCTGGTTACAATTTCTCCCTTATTTCTATGATCTAGATTTTTGAGGTGTAAGGTTTTTAAATTATTTGATTTTTCTGCCTTTTTTGGTTTTAATTAGTTAAGATTTGGGAGATTGTCGATTTTTTTTTCCTTCAGAATGCAAGCTCCGGTGATGGTAAAGTGCTCGTAAAAATTTGATTCGAAATATCTGAGAAATGTCGGGACCTCTTGATCGATTTGCTCGCACATGTGAGTTTTTTCTAATTCTTTGATTTCGAGGTATATTTTATTTGGATTTTTTTATTTTAAGTTTTTCACATTTACGCTCTGTTTCCCCTTTAATTACTCCATTAAAGCAGCTTATGAGTAATTTTTCCTCCTTTGAAGCAGCTTATTAGCTATCTTTTCTCTAATAAATTGTATTGATGCTCAATTGATCTGCTGTTCTAGGGAAAATGTTATGTTGCCTTAAATTTGATTGCTATTGTCCAGAGTTTTCTTTCAACAGTAAATAACAACACAATGGAGACAACCTTAAGCTAATAGGTGCTTCTGTCAATTTAGTTCTATCCAAAAATACTTGTGAGGATGACTTTCAATGATATTTAGTGTAACTAACTTGTATTATTTCTTCAGTAAGAATCCACTATAGATACATGCTTTCATTCATTTTAATTCAATGAAAATTTCCTTTATCTTAAGACAATCTTGTCAGTACACAAGAAAATACCTTGGATCTTTTCACTACAATAAAACTCAAGTTAGTTTCATTTTGAAGCCATGCATTGAAATTCAAACTATTGGCCAAATGGTCAACTACTTTTATGTTCTGCCATAAGCTGCAAATGGTCTTTTATTTTATATTTTAGAGCACTCTTTCAATTTCGAAGTTAAAGGGAGCTTGTCACAAAGTTTAAGATGAACACAAAATGGGTTCATTTCAAACAGCATTACTTCATTTGTGTTTATAGACTAAGTGTACTAAGAAACATACGAAAGACTGGATCTTTTGTGAAGTTACATATAGTTGTCCTTGTCATGGTATTTTTTTGGGACAGTGTTGGTAAGGAGTGGCCTAATGCTTTCCTATCCTTCAACATTGAGTGGAACGAATCTGTGTAGGCTTATAGTGTAAGTTGAGAATTTTACTTAAATCTTAACCTTTTCCCAATCTGATAATACTTGAAGCCATTAGCAAATGTGGAAAGTGGAGATATGGTTGCTTGTGAACATTGGCAAGGTCTTTGTGATTTAGTGTGCTCTGCTTTTAGGTTGATTATGTATCTTAGTTTGGTTTGGATTTTTTCCTTGAGTTTTCGGTTGTTGATTACCTTGGCTTTGGCGAGGGTTCAATTTTGATATTAATTATGATCTGTTTTGGTTGCAGGGTACTGTTGGACCATGCAGCATTCCGAAATCAAGTTCTTGGAGTCCTGTTGAGCTAAGCAAATGGAAAATTTTGTCCTAGATATGTCTTATTGTCTTATCCTATATCCTTTTGAATTACATGCAACATCGATAATAAAACATCTATACTTTATTCTTGAATTGCACATGGTTCTGATAATTTAGTAATACATCGTGTTGATACTGACATTTGTTTTTGCTACTTGGAAGACCATGTAGAAGATTAGGTTATGTTCATCCTCTTAACTAATGCACTTTTATACTGTTCTCTGTTTTTCATGTGTATAGCTGGAGTGGTCTAGGAAACATGGTGCCTGCAGAAGCCATGCGCCTATTTGTGAAGATTTTAGAGGTTTCAACTTGCCTACTTTCCTATGCCATAGTATGCAGCAGAATTCAATTTATATTAAGAACTCAATATGGTCGTCTAATGCATTATTATATTGATTAATAGGAAGAGGATCCAGGCTGGTATTCAATTCAAGAGCTGAAGTGTCGGATGCAGTTGTTGACGTGCAGATGAATGTGAGTTCCTTTTCCAATGGCTTGTATATTTTTAATCTGTTATATGCTTTATTTGAATACTGAGCATACCTTGTCTGCATTTAATCAAAATCTTACTACCTCCATATTATGTGAAACTTTTGGGAATTAAATGTAAGAGATAATAAATTTCAAATGTTGCACATAATATGTAACAGAGGAGTAGTTCCTGTTTGATAAGCAAAAGTCGAAGATTTTACAATTTGACAATTAGTATTAATATAATCGGACAGAGGTAGATGTTAAACATGCAGGTATAGTTTATGGAAAAATATTGTATGAGATAGTCTCTTGATATAGAAAGTAACACCTTGTTCTGTATAGCTTTTCACCAATTCGTCTCCATTGGGTGATAGCTCAGACCTGAGCTTGAGGCCTTGAGAACTGAGCTTAACTCAGTTTTGCTCAAAGTAGCTCAGACATATGCTTGAATCATCTACACAGACATTTATCTGATTTATGCTTTATCTCATTGTTCTAGAAAAGGGATAAAATGATCATCATTTAATAAATTGCTGGATTTAATGTGTTTTTTTTTTTTTTGCAATATTTTTGATTTATTTTTTTCCCTTGTGAGTGATGAGTGCTTTTTTGGGTTTCATTGATGAACTGGTTGTTTTTGTAGTGATAAATCTGCATTTGGAACAAATTTGAGTTATTTGATGGGTTTTATAATTAGTTATTAATTTTTTAAATATTGGTGAAGAGTTTTGATTCAAAGCTTGATTTGTACGAAGGCTTCTGCATTTTAAAACTGGTTACTCCCCGCTTCTTAATTACTTGAACATATCATTCTTAATTCAGTATTTGCACATTTTCCTTGATCTCCTCTTCAACTCTTTACTTCCCACTTCTGCTACCTCTTTCTGCCAAGTGCTGTTGAGATCCTCATTTTTCTATTTCTCAGCAATGAAATTCATTATCATTGTCAATGCCTTCTCTTAGTTTTCACTTTTCGTCAGCTGTTCACTTACTTCTGCAGGGGTGACCTTTGTTTCCTGCACTTGTTGTTCAATCTCTGCCAAAAGTGATCTGTGTTGTTTAGGTAATTTGATAAGTGTCAAACTCCATTAATTGATGAAATAAAAAATCCATGCTCTTGGTCCTAAACGAAGTGCTGACTTTCCATAGTCATGTGCTCATGTAGTCATGTTGTAGTGTTGATGATCCAGCATCGGTAATTGAGGTTAAGTGAACAGTCTAGGACTCCAGGTAACATAGGTATTTTTAGAAATACTCATTCGGGATGATTTATATAAATGACGTCTCACTTTTTGTCACCCTTCTACTTTATACTTAATCTGTTTGAATTAAAATGTCAATTGTACATAATTTTTTATTTTTATGTTTTTTTAACCTTTTGACAATAGTGATTTAGGGACTGCTTATATCTGTTTTGATTTTTGCAGGGATCATTAGCCTACTGGGGTACTTATCCGAAAGCCATATACTAGGGAAAAAGAGGCCATATAACTTTGTAATTTATGCGGGCTCTGGGACAACATCAATTGGTTTTGCCCTTGGAGCCTTAATTTGTGGGTATGGTTCAAATTTCTGTTTTAATATGTTGTGTTTATTTATTTATATTTTTATTTTTATTGAAGCATGTGAATTATGCTGTCGATATTAATCAGGCTGCCGTGGTAGGTAACTGATGTAATGCTAGCTGATGCATACGTCAGATACAAGAATCAGGAGAATTGTCTGATTTCAGATTTTAAAAGATATGCGCCAGCCGAACTTTGCAACTACGAGTTGTAGGATGACCTCATTCAGTGGGTCAATCACAAAACTCCAAGAAAGTGAGTTGACAGTTACTCAATTACTCTCCGGTGAATTTTAAGATTAGTAGCACTAATTGAGTAATTGTTTCATGCTTTCATCACTTAGAAGAGTTAGAACTAATTTTTCCTTAGCTGAATTAATTTTATGTTCATTAGTGATATAGTCATATCATCCTCATAATTCCCTCCATACTTTTGTGTTTTGTGCTTTGTGCTTTTGTCCCCTCCTTTTTACACTCTCTTTCGTCTTGCAGTATCACCATTTGATATCTGGCTAAGCCAATAGGCTCACTCATTGCATGTTTGGCAATGTCTTGGAGGGAGAAATCAAGGCATGTCAACAAGTAGCTAATGAATCAGGGATACCTATCGATCCAATATACCCATTGGCAGCATGGGAGCTAGCTGTTCAGTTAAGCCAGGAGCAACCAGACAAAGGAGAAAAGGTGTTGATGCTGCATACAGGGGGCACCCTTCGCATGTTTGGGCTAGCACAAAGATACAAATCCTACTTTCGTACGCTGAAAGACAGGTCGCCCTAATAACTCTCTTATGATAAAAAGGTTTTGCCGTTTTCAGTTGATTTTTGACGAAAAATTATTTGTGGGTATGATCGAAAAATTTGTCATGTGATAATTTTTAGCATAATATTGTTCTTGTGTATTCTTAAGATGTTGCTATAAAAAAGGTTTTGCTAATTTGGATGATGAAATATGTTGCCAATTACTTCCTGATTAATCATGAAAATTGTGTTAACTTGATTATCATCATTTAAGTTGGTGGGCCCTTATGTCACATGAATTTGAATCTTTTTTCTTTGATAATTTGAACGATAATTTTTGTGATATGTTTTGGATTTTTGTGTTTACATTTTGTGATGTGTGTTGTTTTAATCACTCTTCTTGCAACAGACTTAGAATTGGCCTTTGGTTTTAATCGATTTTCGAAGCGATTCGGTGCGATTGACGTTGATCGTAGGCTCGTAGCATTGAATTGAAGACTTTTTTGGTATGTTCTCCTCGATTTTTTGTAGAAGAGGTTGGATTACGGATTCAGTGGATATGCGGTGCCTTTCATCCACTAGTGGAAAATTTCCCATTCGTAACGGGCAAACACAGCCCACTCGTAACAGGCAGAAGGCCTTACGAGTGCGGCTGTTATAAATAACCTGCTATTCGTAACACTCACTGCCCGTTGTGAATAAGTGGTTATTTGTAACGGGCATTTCACCCACCCTTAAAGTATAACCACTTATTCGTAAATGACATATTTTATGTCCGTACGAATAATACTTATTTATAACTGGCAAAAGCTGTGCCCGTTACAAATAGAGGTTTTTTTTTTTTTTTTTTTTTTTTTTTTTGGACATTTCGGCAACATTTCGTTTGTAATATGGATATTTTTCGATTTATTTCTATATATAATGATTATGCAAAATATTTTAAATTAAATAATTAAAAATTGATAAATATCTACATGAACATTTGTCATATACTTTTTACCTAAGTTCAACACATACAAAAAGTTATCTATCCTAAGTTCCTAACAATAATGAGTCCATTGTTCTCGAATCACATTGATCTTATTTCTTGGACAATAATCCTTCAAAAAAAAAAAAAGTTAAAATGTAGTTACAAATTAAATGACATAATAAAATATCAAACAAGTCACTAAGTGGTAGAACAATATTATTTATGACTTCTATCTCACCCATTTTCTATGTTTTTAACCAAATCAAACATATATCACTCATAACATCCTTAATATACTTAGTTTAAGGTAGATATGATTTTAAATCATTGAAAAAGGACAAGTTAGGGACATTTTGAGCAAAAAAGGTTTAACTATAGCCTAAATGACTCCTAAAATTTTTTACCAAATCAAACATATATCACTCATAATATCCTTAATATACTTAGTTTAAGGTAGATATGACTTGAAATCATTGAAAAAAGACAAGTTACTTAGTTATAGAGAAAAAAGGTTCAAATATAGCCTAAATGATTTCTATCTCACCCATTTTCTATTATTTTAAACAAATCAAACGTATGCCACTCATAACATCCTTAATATACTTAGTTTAAGGTAGATATGACTTGAAATCATTGAAAAAAGACAAGTTACTTAGTTATAGAGAAAAAAGGTTCAAATATAGCCTAAATAATTTCTATCTCACCCATTTTCTATTATTTTAAACAAATCAAATGTATGCCACTCATAACATCCTTAATATACTTAGTTTAAGGTAGATATGACTTGAAATCATTGAAAAGGGACAAGTTACTTAGTTATAGGGACATTTTGAGCAAAAAAAAGTTCAAATATAGTCTAAAATGACCTCTTTCTCATCCATTTTCTATTTTTTTTTAATCAAATCAAATGTATGTGATTCATAACATCCTTAATATACTTAGGAGCCGTTTGGTTTGCACAGGTTAAACGGAATAAAATGAACAAAGGGATTCAAAGGGAATGGAATGAAATCCATTCCATATAGCATGTTGTTTGTTTTACAAAAGCTAAAGGAATCACCACCACCAACACCACCACAAAACCCCCTTTTCCTTCACTTTCCCACATCTCCATCTATCCCACCGCCCAGCCACCACATTTTCGGCGACCCTCAGAGCTGCCGCACCTCCACCAACCCTCCCCTCCCCGGAAAACCTCCACCCACTCATAATCCCTAATTATTCATCATCTGAAACCCCACAAAAACCCTAATTATCGGCGGTGCAAACAGGGGAGGAGCGATGAGGGAGCTGCAATGAGGGTTGGGGAGGTACGACGAGCCAGCGGTGCGAACGAGGGAGGTGCGAAAACTGCGAACGAGGGTGGTGCGACGAGGGTTTCAAGGTGCGAAATGGGTGTTACGACTAGGGTTCAGGGAAGGTGTGACGAGGGAGGTGTGAACGAGGGTGCTGCGACGAGGTTTCGAGGTGCGAACAGGGTGGTGCGGCGAGTGGCGGGGGAGCGGCGATGACTGGGGTAGGGGCCGCAAGGTGGCTCGGCGGTGGCTGTGCGGTGGGGGTAGGGTAGAAGGGTGGTGGCTGTTGTTGGCATGGTGGTGTAATGGTGGCTAGGGAAAGGGAATGGCAAAGTCTAGGGGGGGTGGGGAAGGATTTTGGGTGAAGTCAAAAATAAAAATGGGTAAAGGGAATGATTAAATGTGACAAACAAACATCAACAAAGGGATTATTAATCCCAATCAAACGGCCCCTTACTTTAAGGTGGATATGACTTGAAATCATTGAAAAAGGACAAGTTACTTAGCTATAGGGACATTTTGAGCAAAGTTCAAATTATAGCCTAAATGACTTCTCTCTCACCCATTTTCTATGTTTTTAACCAAATCAAACATATATTACATCCTTAATATACTTAGTTTAAGGTAGATATGACTTGAAATCATTGAAAAAGGACAAGTTACTTAGCTATAGGGACATTTTGAGCAAAAAAAAGTTCAAATATAGCCTAAATGACTTCTCTCCCACCCATTTTCTATGTTGTTAACCAAATCAAACATGTATTACATCCTTAATTTACTTAGTTTAAGGTAGATTTGACTTGAAATCATTGAAATAGGACAAGTTACTTAGTTATAGGGACATTTTGAGCAAGAAAGTTTCAAATATAGCCTAAATGACATTTTTAGCAAGAAAGGTTCAAATATAGCCTAATTAGGGGTTTGATTTGGGGAATTTTGGTTACAATCACTTTAATCTGAGGCAATAATGTTGGTTTTCTGGTTTTGAATTTGATTTTATGGCAAGATCTGGGTTTTCATTGAAAACTGTGATCTTTATAGTGATTTCTAAGGTTGTAAATTATATATATATATATATATATATATATATATATATATATATATATATATATATATATATATATATATAATAGAAAATTTGGTGGTAAACTGGTAATATCCTGAATTCCAAAAATGTTTTTGTGAAACATTAAATACAATGGTGATACACTGTACAAACTAGAGTTGTTGTCTCCTGTATTTGAAAATGAAGAGGTCAGTAATGCCAGTAGTTGATTTGTTTAGATACACTGACTCCTTCTCATGTGGACTATTTTTAATACTTCAGTCTATTGTAAGTTATTTGGCTCAATCTGAGCGCTTTAAAACTATGACCACCCCTAACCATCAGAAGACCAATTGCGCTTAAAACTTATCACTCTCTATGGTGCTTTTGTTTTTATTTAGTTAATGTAGGAGAATTTATGATATGGATCCCTTTAAGCTATTGAGGTGGGAGAAACAACTGATGAAGCTGAAGGAAAGAATTCTAGCAGAAGGTTCTAAAGTTGTATTCCTTCCTATAATTGAAAAGTATATCCTGAAAAACCATCATCGTGTAACAGTTGAAATGCAGGTGAGTATTACAATTTACTTTTATATTCTGCATTATGGCAGAAATCATAGATAGCATTTTTTTTGTTGCTTTTTATGATTTTAACACTGTTACTGCCAGCCTGGTCCAGAGACGGGGATAATTAGGCTGTTGATAAAAAATCGTTGGAGAAGCTCAAGGCAAGTATGACGGAGTAAAAACTGGCAGAGTTTGTTCGTGCTATGCAAGAGTTGCGCTTAAAATACAAGACTCTAGATCCACCTAAAGCTTTACGGAGTGTTCCATGTCTATTTTTGCATGACATCCTGAAGAATTCCATTCATATTCCCACTGAGGTTAGACTCCCTTTTTTCATTTTCAATGTGTTTGGATGGTAGTGATCTGTCATATATTTTGAAAATTTTCAGACTTTTCTAAGCTTATTTCTCTTGCAGATTGGGAATATCATGGTGTGAGCATGAATTATTCACAAATAAAGTCATTTACATTGAAGTTGTAGATTTTATATGAGTACTCTAAAACAAGAGCTTCTCTAATAAACTTTATTTTAGTAAGATTACTTGCATAGTGAAGATTCGTTAATGACAGTGCAACTGTATGCTGTCTCTTCTTTTTAAATTCTTTGTTCAGATCAATTATAATTTTGATTTTTTGATGCATTCCTTTTGCACAAGATCAATATCTTTCTTATGAGCTTTAATTCTTTCCGGCCTCTATGCAATCAATCATTGTTAGTGAAGGAACAATGTGCTGATATGGACCTTGAAAGGTGCTGAAGTGAAATATTATCAAACACAGATTATTCTGACAGGCTCGTCATATGGAAATTGTACTCAGTAAGAGATACCTCATCTGATAAGATGAAGGGAATTCTGCAAGAAGAATCTGTTCAGACATAATCCCAGGGCAAACAATAACCTATGCTCATAATGTCTGATTCAAGTGCTGGTTTCAGCCTAGATTTTAATAAAATAAATGATGGGATGATTGCTTACCAGGCTAGCTTATGAAGAAAGTGATAATAAATGCAATCTGAGATCTTGGACAAGCTGTTTTACATCAAGCACTACCTCAATGGACTTTGACAAAGCCAGAACCAAATAAATAGGCATAAATGTTTTAGGGGGGTTTTTAAGGAACATAGAACATATCCTTTGTTCCTTATGTACTTGGAAACAAGGACAAAGTTATATCAGTACTTGTATGAAAAAAAAATAACAAAATAAAGTATCACCATAGACTAAAAACTATGTAATGTGTTATGTGTACAATGTTGCTAGCTTATATTGCCTTAGAGCTAGACTTAAAATCTTTGTACCTGTATCCTTTTATATCAAGATATATAGCTTATGTTGAATTATAAATATTGTCCATGTATTATTGATTCTTCGTATTTACCGAAGACCAGTGTCAACATTGTCATTTAGCTTAGACTACTTGAAAAGGTTTCAAGTTATCTTACTAAAAGATACGAAATAATTAGGGGTGAGCGTAACAGGGTACCCAGTAAAAATCTTAGGACCCGGAATCGAAACCTGTTGTAACAGGTTCTTAAAAATAGAAATAGGAACTGGAAGTTGTTCAACAGGTTCCTATAAATTGGGAATCGGAACCTGAAGGTTTCAGTTTCGAAATAGGGTACTCTGTTTTTCAAAGTAAGCTTAAAAGCTTACAACTATAATACAAATAATAAACTAACATTGATTGTCTTGAATATTTAATACAAAATTACAAATATTTATATTAATACCATTAATTAAACCTTTAAAAGTAAGATGAAAAATGAATAAGAGGAGGGAGAGAGGTATGTCACGACTTTTATACAATTTTGATATAAGGCTTTTACTTTTGGGCTTAAATGATAGGTTTCGGTTTTGTGTATCCTAAAGGGAACTTATACTAACAGGTACCCTACAGATTTCGGGTCTAACATTTTATTACGGGGTTAATGGTGGCCATGGATAGCTTGGGGTTCGTAGTGGTGGTAGTTCGTAGTGGGGTGGTGAGTAGGTGGGTAATAGTTCAATTCGTGGTGGGGTGGTGTAGGGGTTTAGGTGACGGTGGATTGAGGTCGTGAGGGTGGAGCTTAGTGGTGGTGGTTGTGGATCATGGTGAGGTGAAGTGGTAATGGTGAGTTGAACTCTTGAAGGAGGATGAAACAGGAAGGGGAGGAAGAAGAAAGAAGGAATTTATAATTTTATGTTAATTAAATAAAAATAATAACAAAAATGAAAAGGAAAAATAAAAATTACCGGCTGTAGAGGTTATAGGTAAAATAGGATTGGTAAGGGAGAATAAGTATTAAAGGTGGGATTATTCAAGGTTAATTGAAAGATTGGATTATTTTAGAAAAACCGACGAAAGGTTGGATTATTCTTGTTAAATTTTCCTATACTATAATACTTTTCTAAAATACCTTGACTTTGCAACATGAATGTCAATTTTGCATCAAATGAACATTATCATCACTAATGTTGATCATAAGATAACCTCGTTGATATCTTTTAGGTGGATTTATATTCTAACCACCATGCATTTATTTAATTCAAGGAAACAAATTGCGATAAGCATTTATCGAAATTCATTTTTGCCAAATTGAGGGGCATGTGCGTAGGGCGTATTTTTATTTTGACTTTTTAAAAATGGGAGTTTATTGTGCTTATGATCTGAGATGTTTTTGCTTTCCATCTTGATTACTTAGTGATATACTTTGTAAATGTAAATTGAAAAAATGATCTAACATTCATATTTATACAAAAGTAGCGTATCACATACATATGTCGTGAATACAAATTAGTCTTAAACTTATCTAACTATAATCAGATACTTAAATAAAATAAACTTTATCATTTTTTTTACAAAATTTTATCATTAATTGCAATAAAGAAAATACAATAACTTGAAAAATCACTCGCGTTGCAATAAAGAAATTACGATAACTTGGGAACTATATTTTCGAGCTCAAACTCGGTTCGTTAATAATTAAACCTGGTTTTAACCGAACAAAATCGAGTGTTCACTCATGTCCACCCCTAATTACATAGTATAAGAGTCATTAACTAATACGTTTCTAGTTGAGTTATGAATTAAATCAATTAACAATCACAGTAAACTGTAACTAAGGGCCTGTTCTAATTGACTGAACTGAGCTAGATTGAACTGAACTGAATATTTTATGAGAGGAGGATATTAAAAACTTAACTAAACTGAATTTAAGCTGAAGAGAATTGGCCCTAAACAAGTCATCATATTGTCATTTACTGTAAATCTATACGTCTTACTCAAACGTCAAATAAAATAAGATTGGTATTTGGTGTAAGGGTTTACAAAAGTGAAATTTAGTTTGGTCATTAGCAAGTCGGGTCAATTTCTACACACTATGAATTTAGGATATGGGTTAATTAAATTTGGTTTGATAACATGCCGGATGGCCGGATCAATACTAGATTAGGTGAACTGGGGTCACGGGTCTTTGTAAGTCAGGTCATATCGGGTTCTTTTGGGTCCAATAAGTTTTGGGTTCTTTACAAGCTAGTGTAGGTTAGGTCAACAATTTCCATTTTTCGTGTTTACATGGGGCATTGGAATTTCAGGTTGATGAACAAGTCAGGTTCAATTCTTTATATGTATGTTCACATCTACGGGTGAGCAAACTGGGTACTCGGTCAAAATTTTATCTCCGACCGACCCTGAAATTGGTTGGAACCTGGTCTTAAAATTCAGAACTAGAATTGAAATTGGTTCAACCAGATCCAAAAATTTAGGAATTGGAATTGGAATCATCGAATTTTGGTTTCGGTTCCGGCCTTCCGGGTTCCCACTTATGTATACTTCCGGGTTCCTAACCAGTTTTGGTTTTAATTCTGGTTACATGGAATTTTTGCTCACCCCTAGGCACAATGTGTGTCTGCTAAGGCCCTGTTCAATCAACCTTAAAAAAAAATATTCAGTAAAAATAATTTCAATTCAGTAAAAATAATTTCAATTCAGTAAAAATAATTTCAATTCAGTAAAAATAAGTTCAGTTCAATAAAAATAATTTCAATTCTGTAAAAATACGAGTAAGTAAATATGAAGAAAAAAAATATAATAGAGATTTAGTAAAAATAATTTCAGGTCAGCAAAGATAATCAGTAAAAAAAAATTTACCTTTAGGAAACATAATTTCATTGTAGCAAAAATAATGTGAAGTGAAGGAAGTCTAATAGGTCCCACAAATTAGAGCTCCAGCTTTGCTTGCGTTCTTCACCGGCGCTCGCCGGATTTATCATTCATCCTGCTCCTAAGTGCCGTTACTAAGTCACAACCTAGAATCTTCCATTACTAAGTGCCGCTAATTTAGATTTGTAGGCTTTTTTCTTCATTAGCTCCAGTTATATCCATTACTAAGTGCCGTCACTAACTCACCAAATTTCTTATGGACTCTTGATTTCTTACAATTAGGGTTTATACTAAGATGAACATGAGCGAGAAAGGAGCATCATCATCTCAAAGACCAGCAAAGAGACCGAGGATTCTTGAGCTTGGGTAATACAATATTCTTCTCTTTCTTTTTTTTTGACAAACACTATTCTTCTCTTTCACTTTATACTGAGTAGAGTGAGTAGCATTAGATCTATGATTATTTATGTATTTATTATTAGCACATTTTCAATGATGGTAATAAATTAATAACGAATTATTATTAGCACATTTTCAATGATGGTAATAAATTAATAACGAATTAATAGTGTTGTTTGAATTTATTTTTCCATTTATATATTATGTTGTTTGAATTTTGTTATTAACATTTTCATTATTTATTTATCAGGGGCAATTCTGACTTTTGGTTCATATGGGATGGTCTTCCTTACAGTGAGACCATTCCTCAACCTCCCCTGAGACAAAATCCAGGTTATTACAAATTACTTTTTGCATTATAAGCTAATTCTATGAAATATTATTGTTAGTGGTTATTTCGTAATTAATGTGCATAATCCTCAAGAATTGGACCCATTTTTGTTATTAATGTGGCGTAGTTTTTATCATTTGTTAAGTATTTACGGGACCTAACCCCCCTTTTTACATGTATATGTATATGTTACTTGGATAGTTGGATTCGGATCCCATGTCCGACACGGGTATATGTGTATGTGTCCGATTCAGCTATTTTGTAAAAAAAAAAAAAAATCAAGATTTTGGCCCAAAATAAAGAGTTCAAACCGTGTTTGAGTGTCAAGAGTCCTACACATGTACTTTAGACGCAAAGAAGAGTTAGAGTAACATAGTATATGTATGTATAAAAGAAATGAGGGCTTGGGAGGGTTGATTACCTAATGCTATATAACCAGATCGAATGTAAAAATAACTAATAAGTTCATCATTACTGCTTGTTCTTTATGGACTTCTAAATCTGCTATTTTTGTTCTTCAAGCTGCCACCCATTACCCTAGTACCTTTAAATTAGGATATGATCCATTATAAGCCATAAAAAAAATTAATTTTCATTTAGTTATTATTTAAAATTGTATGAATTAAGCTGTTATGATATTCAACTAACAATGTAAACATTTCAAACTACTACTTTATTTAGCAATGATTTATGTGCAAGTGTCCGATTTAGCTATTTTGTAAAAAAAAAAAAAATTCAAGATTTTGGCCCAAAATAAAGAGTTCAAGGGTTGTACCCGTGTCCGAGTGTCAAGAGTCTTACACATGTACTTTAGACGTAAAGAAGAGTTCGAGAAACATAGTATATTAATGTATAAAAGAAATGAGGGCTTGGGAGGGTTGATTACCTAATGCCATGTAACCAGATCATTGTAAAAATAATTAATAAGTTCATCATTACTGTTGTTCTTTATGGACTTTTAAGTCTGCTATTTTTGTTCTTCAAGCTGCCACCCATTACCCTAGTACCTTAAAATTAGGATATGACCCATTATAAGCCATAGAAAAAATTGATTTTCATTTAGTAATTATTTAAAATGGTATGATTTAAGCTGTTATGATATTCAACTAACAATGTAAACATTTCAAACTACTACTTTATTTAGCAATGATTTTATTTGCTTAACAGTATCATGTGCCTTTACGGCAACAACCCGTCAAGTGGAATATGACATGAGAATTCGATGGGCTAAAGCACAACCCCCTTCTAAACTTGATCCGGGTCCTCTTCTTGATCATGATGAGTGGGAAAGGAGACTCAAAGAGAGATTTCCAAACCATGTCTGTTTGTGGAAACCAAAGGAGCTTTTGAAGCAAATTTTAAATGAAGATCTTGAAAATCCAGATAGAGAAGATAGGGTAGGATGCCCCTATTTGCGTGGTCTTGTCCACGAA